AGAAAGAGAGAAGGAGAAGGTGTGGAAAGGGAGGGGGGGGGGGGGGGGGGGGGGGGGGGGGGGAGGCAATCCATTACAGCCCTCCGTTGTGACAGAAATCTTTCCATCATATCTGTCAGCAAGCCATAATTCAGATGACTTCCTCTTGTAGAGCCTCCGCCGGCCTGATCTGGTCTCTACCTTCGGTAGCGTCACTGGTCTCAGGCAGACGGAGGAGATCCCAGGGTGGCAGGGTGTCCCACGCTGTAACTCCATCCCCTGCAAGGCCTCATAGGAGTTGAAGAGTTGCCGGATGCCGACATCAGGCGCATCCTCTCACCGCTGCGCGTGGTTCACCAGTTCCTCGTCATCAGAACCGTCACCGACGCAAAAAACAAGAGCAACTAAATGAAACCAAACTAACTGAAAAAAAGACTGATTGTTTTCAGTTGGCTTTTTCTTTCCATTGTTCTGGTCCGACATGAAATCATGTAGTCATGTCAGACTTTTAGTTTCTTTCCTGTCGTCTACATGAGCTTTTCACAGGCAAGCAGCAGTTCTTCTGTCAAACTCCTGGTTAAGTTCTGGCTCATGCGGACAGTCCGAAGCTCCAGCAAATACTCCAACACTGAAACAAGCATGTGTGAGCTTCGCCATAGTTCCCTCAGGAAGACCCATAGACAGAAATCTCTGCCCCATCTCATATCATCATCATCATCATCATCTGTCGTTTTCACTGGCGTCGACTCACGGACTCTATTTACAATTCGATTTTAAAAAACTAGAGGTGTTACATGCAACATTTGGCATCCTCTCGAGTCCCCACTCGCGAGTCTTAATTGGTGTCCATTTTTAGAAAAATATTTAAGTTTTTTTTTTTTTTTCTTCAGCATATTGAAGCTTCTGATTGTAACAGAGAGAGGTGAGGGTACAGGTGTAGCAAGCTCAGTGTCTGCATGAGGATTTGTATTCGTGTGTGTGTTAGTAAAATGCTAGTCTTAAATTCTGAGATGGCCGTTTGGTAAAGTGTCTTATCATTGCTTTACTGCAATAGGTGCAAATAGCTGCAAGTATGTTTTTCTTTTCTTTATATATTATCACAAAACATGACTTCTGCTGCGGTCTATGTGTTTGTTGAAGGTGTCGGCAGTTTACTGGCTCTATTGCTGCCCATCTTTTTGAAATAAACAGCCTGCAGGAAAAAGCTAACTGGGGTCTTTTACTCAAGTGGCGTTCCCGTCTAGAGGTAGCTGGTAAGTGACCTTCGACACCGAGGGAAGCATGTGTGAGAGGTTAAGAGGGATTTTTCAATATTTTGTTAAGAAACTAACTGTTACCGGTCTCAAAGTGCTAAATAGAAGCATGTGTCTCTCCCCTCAATAACAAAAGTATTTTTGATGAGAACATTATTTTTTTTACTTCATTTGATGAAGACAGAGGTGCCCACACTTGATTTTTACATAACGCTCTTTGTAATACTGGTTGGCCACTAAACACAGACCAGGAATGTTCTGACATTCTTCTAAGAGTTTATCTGTGTATGCAGGTGTGTCTGCATATCAGAAAGCCTGGTGTGTGTGTGTGTGTGTGTGTGTGTGTGTGTGTGTGTGTGTGTGTGTGTGTGTGGTGGAGAGATTCGGGAATGTTTTTTGGGAAAGTTACCCAAGACCATGTAGCGTGTTCTGGCTCTCTCCCTCTCTCTGCAGCTCCAAACAGGGGGGACACACCAGCATATACTCTATGACAGGGCGCCAAGGGGGGGACAGCAGGGCCGGGTTCAAGTGACGGGCTGCGGGGAGCATGTACGAGGGACACGGGGAGTGGAAAGGGGGGGGTTGTTGTCTTTACATCATAGCAGGACACAGCAGCGGCAAAACCTCTGACGACTGCCCCCGACGGAGGGTGGTGGAGTGACGGGAGCGAAGTATGCATGCACTTTGATGTTAGGCAGATGGGTCTGTGGAGAGGAAAGAAGGACAAATAGATGGAAATATGTTAATGTGTTAAAGAGACGGCATAAGATCCGCTCTCTTTGGACAGCGTGCTCCCTCACTGTTTGTATTTCACGCCTCAGTTTGGATTTATCACCTCTTGTGGGTGAAGCGGTGACTCAAACACCATTTTATTTGGACAAAAATGTATAAATCGATGACATCCGTTTGTAATGTTCTCCTCTGTTGCTTCTTAAATCAGCCTGATCATGTAAGTTTTCATAGAATAAAGGCTGCCCTGATCCCTGCTCTGTCACACTGCGTGTTGTGCTCCACTTAAACTCTGCCTGCCTCATTTGGAGACTGTAGTGCTGCCCAGCAGCTATGCTCAATGCTCGTACATCATCATTGTTGTAAGACATCCTTTAGCCATCAGTGGCAGCCCTGAAAGCCAGGCTGCTGTGTCATCGTTAATTCTATGTTGGGTTCAATTGATATCAACCGGACTCTTCAGACAGATAGTTTGTTCCTTTACACATCAAACATCAACCTCTTCAAATGTCGTTAAGGAATTTGTATTTCCACCAAACCTTCATTAAGGAACTAAAATTAGCTTTGGGAGTTTCATTAGCTAAAAAAAAAAAAAATAATTAAAAAAAAGTTTTATTTACATTTTATGTTCACCAACACATTGTGTGCGTCCTTGAGGAGAATTTCTTTCCAAAGCAGATTATTTGAAATCTTCTTTGTTTTTATGTTCACTTGCTTGCAGTCTTCCTCTCTACCTTTGCTCTACGTGTTGGTGAGCACCTCTCGCTTTCCAAGATCATTAATTCACCCGACAGGTGTGTCCTATCAAGATTATTACACAGGACCACCGTGGTCTAGTAACAAGAAAAGGACACTCTAAAATGATGCAGTTTTATCATGGAAAAAAAAAAAAAAAAAAATCTATTTACACTCTGAACTGTGGATTTTACATACTTAGGGCTACAGATATGCATTTTTTGGTCACACAGAATTCATCCGTGAAGAGAACACTTCTCCACAGTGCCAAACACAATCAGAGGTGCGCATTTGTACACTCTTTGAAGGTAAAGAAGTTGTGGAGGATCCGGCCTGGTTTGCGGTAATGAGGCTGATTGATGTACTGCCCAATTCTCAGAAAAACAACATATGAGAAAGCGTATGGCATTGCGGCAGACAGCATGCCCATAGAACACTCCCTCAAAGCTTGTGACATCCATTTCATGAAACTGCACTTTTAAGAGGCCTTTTTTACAGTGACCAGCCCAAGGCACACCTGTGTAATAATTGTGCTGTTAAATCGGCATCTTGATATGCCACACCTGTCAGGTGGATAGATTATCTTGGAAAAAGAAAAGTACTCACCAACACTGATTTTAACACATTTGGGACCGACATTTGAGAGGAATAAGTCTTTTGTGTGCATAGGAAAAGTCTCAGATCTTATATTTTAGCTCCTGAAAATTGGGAGCAAAAAACAAGTGTATTTTTGATCAGTGTACATAAGAATCACCGCTTACTCACGGTTATCAGCCCACACAACTCACCCTTAGTCTCTTGATGCCAGCGCGGGTGATCTGCTGGCAGTCATAGAGCTCAATGCGATCCAGACTATGGCAGCTCTTCAGGTGCTCCAGCGAGGCGTCTGTGATCAGGGGGCAGTTGTCCAGCTCGATCACCTCCAGACGGTCGTGAGCACAGGGGCCGCTGCCGAGGTGTCTGATGCCGTCATCGGTGATCAGCTCACAGTGAGACAGACTCTACGGGAGTACCCACACAGGAGCTCCATTACTCAACTGTCTGCTAGAAGAAGCTGTGATGCGGTGCTTGTAAATATCACAGGAGTGGCAGCCACACGCACACACACACACACACACACACACACACACTCACCAGGACTTGCAAACGAGGGCAGTAGATCGACAGCTGGATGAGTGTTCCATCTGTGATCTGATGGAAAAAAGAAAGACAAACAAATGTCATAACTGCATACAACAGTGGAAACTGTATTTTGTTGCTTGGATTGTTTATTACCTGCACACATTCTTCTAAATCCATCTTTTCAAGCTCATGACAGTTCTACAACAGAGAAAGAGACAATAAACTGAGAGACGCTTTGTTTTCAAGATGTTTTGGGACTAAAAAAAACCAATGTGACATGAAATTTAAATATTTAAATCTGTAAGCATGAAGTCTTTGGGTTTGTATACAACCAATAAGTAGATGCCACACTCACCCTGGCTAATGTAGTGAAGCCCACATCTGTAAGCTGAGAGCAGCGAGCCACTTCTAATATTCTGAATGAAGGAGAGGAGGAGAGAGTTACACAATCACTTAAAGTCTGTCACTCTTTGGGACTTTAACTGAAGCAGCAGCTCCAAAAAAAACAAACAAACAAAAAAAAAACAAAAAAAAAAAAAACACTAAATGTAGTGAGAAAGTCACCAAGTCGGCAACACTTACAGCCCGTCAATTCAGGCCTCCCTCCGAAGTCCCTCCCCCCAAAATGATCATTACTAACGTGGCTATTGTTAGCACTCACAGCTGTCAAGCTAGCACTTCAGCATGCGGCCCAAATGAAATGACTGGACAGGCTTTTTACAGTCCTGTGACAGCTACACGATTTTTTTATTTTGTCAGAGCATTTGTTTTATCGATTGTTGCTGGGGGGGAGAACAAAATGTTTCTTTAAATGAGGATTTGTGTGGAGGCGTGCAAATTCACCTGAGGCGAGGGCAGTTCTGTCCCAGGGCGTGCAGGATGGCGTCTGTGATGTTGGCACAACCCGACACACAAAGAGACTGCAGGCGGTGACAACCCCGGCAAATTGTGATGAGGCCCTCATCTGTGATCTGCTGCTCACAGAGAAAGTTCAGTTGGTGTGTGTGTGTGTGTGGGAGGTCACTTAAATCCACATCAAATGAGAGATGTGAAAACATACAAACTTTTAAAAGCAAAGTACAACTTTGACACACAGTATATATATTCATGTACTTTAATACCCAGCTTTCTTTTCTCATGCCTTTTCTGTTTTAAGTACTGCTCAAGAATACTCTGTGGAGATCAGGCAGAGGAGGAACAGGTGAGAAATAGCTAGGCAAGAGAAGAGGAAGAAGAGGAACTGGGACAATTGAGGAGGAGGATGGACAGATAAAGGAAAGGAGGAGGATTAGAGAAGAATTCAGGTGGTGATGAAGGAGGGGGATTTTGGAGATGGGTAAAACCAGAGAAAATGAGCAGGCTTCACAGACTATTGGCATTCACAATGAGTTGTAGAGCACAACGTGTACCGAGTGCACATCAGCGTACACCCTGGAAAGTAACCAACAGTGTTCGTGTACTTTTATGCCAAAAGGTGCAGAGGCAAGGGTTTTATAACAATGTTTACAAAGAGAGATTTCATTTTTAACAATATGAAATTTGTCATTGAAATTGCAAAACAGTTGTGTTTTTCCAGACTGATTAGATACATCTTCTAGCCGTGTTGCCTGCACTTACTGAGCACGTCTGCAAGTTGAGTGTGACCAGCTCTGGACAGTAAGCCCCGATATGTTTCAGAGCCTCGTCCTCTAGCTGTGGGAGAGATTGACAGAGGAAAAATACAGTTATAAAATGTATAATAAAGCATACTAAGGTTACCCCAACAAGCCCCTATACTGTCACTGATATGAATACTGTAGTGTTGACTGTTGATAACAACATGGTGCTATAAACGTTCACAATTGCTGTAAACAGTGTCTGGCATGCCGTTTCTCAGAAGCATCCTCTATTGCACAGGAAGTGATGCCTTTTATGTTTGCGATAGCAGCAGCTGTGTTTAATTGGGAAACAAAATAAGAGGAACTTGGTAGTTAGTATGATGGATGTAGTTGTACTTGTATAGCGCTTTTCTGGTCTTCCAACCACTCATAGCGCTTTTACACTACATGTTATTCACCCATTCACACACTGATGGCAGGAGCTACCACGCAACATGCATCAGTCAGGAATTATCTGAGCATCCACACACCGATGGCTTCTGGAGCAATTTAGGGTTAAGTGTGACATCGACGTGGACTAGAGGAGCCGGGGATCGAACCGCCGTTCTTCTGATTGAGGGACGACCCGCTAAGTGAATGGCCACTATGACGGAACGTACAAAACAAACAGTGTTTGTGTAGTGCAATGTTAAGCAATAGGAACAGTGTGCCCAGGAAGTCACCAATGGACTAAAACAATTAAGTTCAACAAATCAAGCTGCTTTGAAATATATCAGATAGAATTTTATACTCAATATGCACATAGCACCTACACCGTTAGCCCTGGTCAGCATCTCCAGCTCATACTAAGCCCTTCAGCATACCTGTGTGCATCCCTTGAGGAAAAGGCCTTTGAGTCCTGGACAGCAACGCACCAGGGCCTGGATGCCATCCTTGGTGACCTGATCACACCAGGAAATGTTGAGCTGCTCCAGCAGGGGACAACCCTCACTGACAGGACGGAAAATTCAGAAAGAAAAAGATGGCAAAAGAAGAACAAGTCAATGAGGAGTTAAAGTACCTTGTGGTGTAGATTTAACAGATGGAATTAATGAGGGAAACGGATCTAAGGGGGGGAATGTTGTAAACTCAGGGGAAGTATATATCGCAACGTCGCCGCTACACACCTGAGAGCTTTGAGTGACAGGTTGGTGATTGAGGTACAGGAGGCGAGGTCCAGGTGCTTCAGCTTTGGACAGAACTTACTGAGGCTATTACATGTGCTGCAGAAGAGAAAGACAATGAGCCCTTTTCAAGGAGAAGAGGCATGATGATACACTAGCATCCCAGAATAATGCACGTACCTGTCAGTGATCTTGGTGCAGCCGTTCAGACTAAGCAGCTCGATGTTCCTGCAGTTCTGAGAGAAAGTCCTACAGGGAGAAAAACAAACTTGCCGGTCTCTCTCTGTCTCTCTCTCTCTCTCTCTCTCTCTCTCTCTCTCTCTCTCTCTCTCTCTCTCTCTCTCTCTCTCTCTCTCTCTCTCTCTCTCTCTCTCTCTCTCTAGGGTCTGAAGTACAACAAGAACTTCTGTGAGGACAAGTCCTCGCCTTACTCACCTCAGGGCGCTGTCACCCACACCCAAGCAACCCCGCAGGCTCAGCTTCCTAAGGAACCCCCCACATCGCTTTGAGATGTTCTCCACCACCCGGCCCTGGAACCAAAACAATCCACTCAACCTGCTGTATGTGCTTCCGAACATCGATTTAAAGCAATGACAGATCACAAGTGAAGGGTGAAGGGAAATGTACAAAGCAAAGACTTTACTCTCACCTCTACAGGTAAGCGTAAAGTAGTCGGAGATCAGATTTACTCACCTCAATGTCCCTCTGGAAGTCAAAGAGGTCGATTCGTTGCCAGTTGCTGCCATCCAAGGCCAGAACATTCCAGGACTGTGAGAAGGGAGGGAGAAGCAACATTTAGGGCCAAGTTTGTTCTCAAACTTAGCACATACACACACTAAAACACACAGACAAAAAACACTTACAGTCACGCACACATGCATACACACACACCTTGTGAACACAGACTCACCCGTGAGACCTGGGCACAGCGACAGAGTGTCACCACATCCAGAAAGGAGAAGATTCTGGAAGACAGACAGGGACGGTTTAGAGACCCTGATCCCCGCTGCCAGAAGCTTCCTCTTTACACTAAACTGCCCAACTGAAACCCTGCTTCGGCTTCCACTCGCAGCACAGGGGTAGTGAGTGAATCAGCTAATATTGTCTTTGACTGTAGGCAAGGAGAGATGTTTGCAAGATAGATGCGTTTACTCAAAGTGGGGTCCAGGCGAGGAAGACACGCAAACTGCTTCTTAGGAACAGAGGTGGAAACTTACTACAGGATCCCTCAATGCAGCAAAAACTGCATACGGGTTGAAGCGGGGATGCAGTGAGTCCCAGCACAGCCTCACAGAGCAGGGCCCTGAACAGGCAGCTTGGCGGGCAAGGCCGAGGCTTGAGTTATGGCCTTCATTATCTGTTTGCTCAGGGGCTCTCTGTTCTTTTTGCCTGAATTCAATTTGAATGCAAGCATCTGTTTTTAATTATAGTTTTAGCATATGGGGGGGAGGAGAGAGTAGGGTGGTGAGAGGAAACTTGCATCCTGGTGGTTAGTCTAGTTGAAATATTTGCAAAAGGGCACGTGTCATACAATACATGATCGAGAGAAGGACAATGTTTGTTTGTGTGTGTGTGTGTGTGTGTGTGGTTTGTTGTGGGAGGAGGAGGATGGAAGGCCAATTGTGCCTTTGCGTATGATTGGATGTGCTGATTGGGAGCGAAGGCAGGGAGGTGAGTGTGGAGAATGCAACATGCCATATTTGCTTGCAATAAAAAAAACAGGGATTCTGATTGAAGCATTTTGAAATGTCACTCACCGTAGCAACAGCTCCTTAGGCAGCTTCTTATTGATGACCGCCTCGTCGCTATTTGTGAACATCTGAAAGGGTGCAGAAGATAACATCAGTCCTGGCAGTCCATCTTAAGCATAGCAGCATATAAACAAGGATAAATGATCTTAATCTTATCAGCGGAGATAGATTCAATGTCATGTCTTGGAAAACATGGGGGAAACAGAAGATAAAGCAGCACAGGCAACTGGAAATTGTGTCTTCTAAGCAAGAATCAGCGGGAAGAGACTTTGTACTTTCGACTACAGAGCTCTGCTTTCATGTTATCTTTTCCGCCTGCTTATGCTCCCCATACCTCCTCGGTTGTTTACACTGTTGAGTTGACACCACACCACATCAGCATGTACTGAGAATGTACACTGGAGTTAGTTAGAATGCATTCTTGTGACTCTGAGACAAATCGCTCCAGATTCTGCAAACGGCTAATTGATTTCAACATGAACTGCACGTCGTGCGAGTGCAAATACTCGGCTATAATCCACAGAAAACGCCACAGTACACAAAGAGACGATACATTAGCATTTATTAAGACCAAGCTACTTAGATACACACGCACACAAACACACACACACACACACACACACTTAATGAGGACTCCATGGTTCCCATAATTTGTGGGAAATAATGCTCTGCTGTAAAATGTAAGACGTTAAGACGATGACACTCGGGTGCAAAGGCAAATGAAGCAACATCTGGCCAAATCCGTTTTCCTCCATAGATTTAGAAAGATAAATCCAAACCAGAGACAGGGTAATTGAGGGGTGGGGGCTTTAGTGTGTAAATAAAAAGTGCACGTGCTATTTACAAGAGACAAACATCTGCAACAAAATCAACAAGGAATTTGCATGTCCTTATTTGCACTTTGCTACAAATATGAAGCATTCATGATTCCAAAATCTCGTTTTTAAACTAAATAAATCACGGGTGCTAAAAGAGTTTACAATGAGGCCATTTTAATTGTGGGCGTTCATCCTAAAACCACATGCACAATAGCTTCAGATTTTGACTTACACACTTAAACAAACCTATTCATCAGCACATAAAAATAAACTGACAGTTCTGCCCGTTTAGAAACTCAGTCAGTTCTGGGTCAAAAGCCTCTCTATGTCTCTCTGTTAAACATACACACACACACACAGCTGTCTATGCAGGGGCTGCCTGCCAGCGCAGACGTGTAACATTTTTAGGGAGAAGGGACAGACATTTCACATTTGGGGCAAACTGACTCTGACAGCTCGGCCTCCACAGCGCTACTTTCTGGCCAAATAATCCAGGGCCATTTCTAAAGAACCAGATGAGCATGGTCACCGGGTATACACTGTCCCCTTTTGTAATCCAACATAAAATGAACCCGACACTGCATGAATGTGAGCATTATGTTTTCTCCACTGGTCAGCTATAGTCAGTGAAGCAGGCCAGGCAGGAGGTAAAAAGATGGGTGAGCTATAACCTCCAGCTAGAGATTATTGTAAAGCAAAACAAAAAGTGCTCATATTTTTTGAAAATTGAAATTTGTTTTTCTTCTGAAAAGACCAAATTCCTCATATTAAATCTATATATCAGTTTGATACTTGTAACTGTGATTTCCATGATGAGTTATGATTGAATCAGTGGCTAAATTTGGTTTAGGTATTTCATTTATCCTTCCGTACATCCACAGATGTAGTTAAGGACAACTAATAAATTAAATAACTAAGAGACAATTAAAAGCAATTAAAAGATTGTTTTTCTGCCTACAGTTTAAACTGCTTCAACAAGTCTTACATCAAACACCCAACTATACACAACGTAGTTGTAATGTCAGTCACAATATGGTTATTATTTACACATCAGATGGCTGTAGTCTTTTTGTTTAAGGCTGGTATACAACAGGACATTTTTGGAAATATATTGTTAATCTCAGGCCTCTTACAATAGCTTTCTGGACTAACTCTGGTCTACTGAAACAAGCCAGTATGATGTATTGTGTTTTTATCCTATATCCTTTTTAAGTGCATGAGTAGATTGTATATATTTTCCATCAATAAAAAAAATCAACAAAGTAATAATTAGCACTGTCTCTGACAAATAAACTAAGAAAGGAAAACTACATGTTTACATTTCAAACACCGTATATTAGGCCTATATCTTATTCTCCACGATGACAAAATCAGTATAGTACATGCAACTTCAATATTTCAAAGATAAAAAAAATGTAAAATTAAAAAAAAAATACATGATTTCTATTTTGAAGTCAAGGTCACCACTTCCGGTTTCCCCCTGGCCTAAATCCGCTTAGCTTGACACCGCAGCTCTACCGCAGCTGTCGGGCCAGAAGGTAACGGCCTGAATCTTCTGAGTCGTCAGCTGTTGCACCGTTAAAAATAAATAAAACCACACACACACACACACACACACACACACAAATCCCACACTAGCAGGGGATTAAACAGCACCAAGTGCTTATAGGCTACACAGCCCAATGTCACCGACCGGATGCGTTTGGGTGCTAGTGTTCACCAAAATATTCAGCTACGCTCGCGGCTGCGACACAAAGTTTACACACAATGGTAAATACTACAAAGCAACACCCCCGTAGCCTGTGCGTGTGGACATGTGGCCCTCTTGCTATCACTACAGGTTATGGTGGATGCCACACTGTGGCAGCCTGGGCCCATTTGTTGATAGTTTATGTGCTAACACGGTCGCGACCCGAGGCCCCCCCCCCCCCCCCAACAACCGCAGCGGCCGTGGATATGCACAACAATCCGACTCGTCTGACAACTCCCTCAAAAAAAAAAGTCGTATTATAATCACACCCCGGTAGATATGAGGACAGCTATTAAACCGCTTTTTAGAAAAGTGAAGTCAACCAATTCCCTTTCTTAAATATGTAAACGTGAGCAGGAGCTGTCCTCGGCGTGCTCTATGTAGCCTCAGCGTCTTTGTTTTGACGGCGCAATGTGAAACGAGGAAAACATTTTTCGGGACCTTTAAAAACGCTCCATTTAAAAACCAACAACAACGCGATGGGTTCAGTGGGAAACACCCACGTGTGTCTTAAATGAAATAGGTCGTGCTTAAACTACGCTGTTCTAACAAAAACAGCGTTTGACCTAATCCCAAACATTGACTGTGGAAGCTGCATCCACAGCCTCACCATAAGCGCAGTTTAACAATAAATACAGCGACAGTCACCGTGTAGGCCCGTATCCTAACGTGTTTAACTGCTACGTTGAATGTGTGTCAATGGCTGTCAGGTTATATTGATGGTCAGCTCACCTCAAACCGGCTCCGCGAGACTCCATTTACCTCCTTCCCCATGTCGGACGCTGGTTACCGACTCAATGAATTCGGTGTAGGCGAAGTAAAATGCAGATACGGGCCCTCTTCCTTCCGAGTCCCCTCCACGACTATCATGCTACCGTCCTGTCGGGTAGCTTCCCGAAGGGCGATGTCGTTGTTTTTTCGGACTGTAAAAACAAACGGCGAGACGTCTCCTTTCAGATAAAATAAGAGATCCAGGCAGCAGACATCCAATAAGCCACTTCTCTTATCTGCTCGCTGCGCCCTCACCTCCTCCTCCCCCTATAGGCTACAGCTTTCCATCCATCCACACAATAGCCCGACAGGAATAGGACCTGGCAGCCTAAAATGGAGCTGGTTCTACGTCTACATCACTTATAAAATAAAATAATATAATGAAATTGCGCTGATGTGTGTATTGGCCAAACAAAGCAAAAAAAAAAACGAAGTCATGGCCTTAAGGTACTTAATTGGCTTAACTCGGGTGTAAAGATAAATATCAAAGTGGGGTCCCAAGATTTTGACAGCGTAACACGAATATCTGGTAAGAGGCCACAGGTTTCAGGGCTAGATAGGATTTACAATTAATTTTAAAAAGTCTTATCCCAGGTTTTGGTAGATTTTGACACCACCCAAACAAAGAGGCCAGTTAGGATATATGATATAGCCTACATAGTCGATCCCTTCCCTCATATAGCCTACTTGAATTAACAAATAATCTATTTAAGGATATGAAGTTGACCACTTGAATGCCCTATGATTTAAGTGTGGGTCATGCGTTCAACATCTTGGTCACGACAGTATTCGTGTACTATAACGTACACAGAAGCGGAGGGCTTGTCCCCTTATGACACGTCAACCATTGAAATGCTTATTAACTCGATTGCATTGCATTAATTGTTGTAAAACAACTGTAACTTTTTTCTTTGCTGTGGGAAACGCGACTTCCTGGTTCGTGAACCACGCCCCAGTTTGACAGGGGATCCAATCAACATCCAGGGCGGTTGCTCATCATACTGCGTCATCACACTGTGGAACACACGCTTGAAAACAGTGCAATGTCGTCTGGAGTGCCACAATAAAATGTATCTGAAGGGACTTTTTAAAATGGTATTGCTAGTGTCTTTCCCTATCTTTGAAAAAGTTTAAATCTATTTTTAATGCTTTTTGATGGAAACACCAACTACAGTAATTGTAGGCTATAATTGTTGCTCCAGGCTAAACTAGTATGTATAAATACAAGTTTGATTCAAATAAATAGTATGCAATATATGTTTCATCACACACTGATTTTATTTCCATTCATGGTGCTGAGCTGACAGAGCACTCTTGTTATTGTAATCTATCCTACGGCATTTAAATGTTGTCACCCTATGTATGTATTTATTTGCATAGAGTCATTAAGATGAGTTTCCCACTAGCCTGCAGCTACTTGGTAAGTTCAAAGCATACAGTGAGATGCCATGCTTGGTTTTTGCCCCTTGAATATAAGGCCCAGCTAAAACAGCACAAATCCAGAACCGAAAGAAGAGGTGTGGGAAGTTTGACTCCAGTTATGATTCTTATCAACTTGACTTACTTTGTAAAGCTCACTTCATGAAGTACTCAGAAAACACTAATTAGCTTGCTTTATATTGTATATTCCTTGTTCAACTAATCTTAACATATTATTTTTACAAAAACAACTTGAACTCCTTGTGACTGGAGACCAACATAAACAGATGCTTTTGTCACACAGTACACAATCCTTTGTTGAATAGGTACAATACCAAAAAATAGCCTCATACAATGCCACACATTTTCCACTCTATAACACTCTACAATTCGTCTACCTCGAGCAGAGTGACGGACGACAGAGACATATGGTGCTGACGTGGCTCCAACTGCCTTTTCAGCTGCTTGGATTTGCACTTATCAACCTGTTTGTATTTATGATGCTTGGGCTACTGTAAATGTACTGTGTTTACATTTGTGGCATTCTGTGCATTTCTGTTTTTTACACCTTATTGATAATCTTTATTGATTATAGTGTTTATTTACACTCTGTTGCACATTACCACTTTGTACTGTAACTCCTGCACAACAATTTTCCTCCAACAATATTCCTAAACAAATGATCAATAAGCACAGACCAGATGACACAGCTTGGAGCTGTCAGGGCCCCAGGACCGTTGCCCATTTTGCCTGTTGGTAATCCAGCTTTTCCATGTTTAAAATGTAAAACCCACCATGATCCCGACACTTCCATCTCTGTGGGTCCAATGCCGTGTGTTATCTCATTTCAAATGAAAATCCGGTAATACTTCAATGTTGTTCTGGATTTTATTTTATTTTTTACATTTTGCCGTTGCTGGCGCGGGACCACGAGTACAGGAGGCGGGCTATGTGTTGTGATAGGCCGTTGCTATGATACGACCAAGATTGACAGTGTTCCGGTTTCCGGTTCATTCTGCTGTGCGAAGTTGCTAGTCACAGGAGCCACAATGGCGTTTGTAGTCTCCTTCAGATAGGGCTGTGGATGATATTAAATCCACTAGCATCGCCCTAAATATAGGCCTGGTTGATTCCCAGAGCCATTGATAATAAACTGGAACATCTACTGCACACGAAAATACTATCATTTCTAAACAATATTGACTTTATAGGGGATAAAACTTACATTAAAGGGAACATGTAAACAGCACCAACCGGGTCAAGTTTTCATTTTGTTCGAGAAACGAGCGTCTTCTAATGAAGGCATTTGCTTGTTTCTGAATGCTAAGATCGTAATTCTGTGGAATAAAAGCACCTTTACTTAACTTGGCACTGGACAAGGACACCTTTCACAAAGGGACTTTTTCTTTTTTAGGAGTCAGCTCGCTAACAGCCGAGCATTAGCTAGCGGTGCTAGCTAAATTGAGACGGAGACGACACCACAATGCTCCGATGTTCGTTTGGAATCTTTTTCAGTGACTGACTAATTCACAGTACATACTCTACAGTACTGGACAACCACCCTGGCGTTTTTCTGCTTTGTCGAACTATGTTGGCGATCTCAATGGAATGAATCGGCGTTGAGGAGGACTGGACGTGAGCGGCCTGGTGTGTTGATTTTGTTTATTTTCTTGCTGTTTCTGCTTAGTAACTTAACACTTTTGTTGGGGATTTGGAGGAGCTCTACTGTTCCCCTGTGAATGAATTGCCTGGACCACCGAGGCCCAGTCGCAGCCGAGGTACCGACGCCGGCGTGAGGGATGCCTGGGTCGGACCGACACCATGGGACCAAGAGGAAGCCGGAATCTAGCAATGTGCTACACCAGACCCAGGCCTCGACCCATACCTCTGCAGGAGAAAAGACGAGCAAGGACGGCAAGGTGCAGTTCAAATCTTCAATGTCCTCTTCCAAACGCAAACGGCATAAATCAACCAAACATAATCGGGAATTGTCGGCGGCACCGGGACCCGAAAATGATACCCTCTGCGATACGGCGCCACCTGGTGTCCACACGGTGAAGCCTCTGGTGGAGTACGATGATATCAGCTCCGACTCGGACACTTTTTCAGACCCACCGTCCTCAAGGCCCTCTGAGAGGGGGGGCGGGGACCGACTGGAGCCCTCACCAGACTACGAAGGGGACGACGTCGGCTTAGAGGCTGACGGTAGAGAGAACAGGGGCCACAGACACTGCCGAAAAAAGTCCAAGGACCCGAATAAAGTTAAAGACGCTGGGAATGGAGAACGTGGGTACAAGAAAAAGAATAGCAAAGACCGCGAGAAGGGGAGTGCTGGAAAGAGCAAGGAGAAGGCTGCGTCCTCAGGGCCCTCATCCAAACGCCAGGTCCAGCCAGAGGGTGACTCTAAACGTGGGGAGCTGATGCTCTCCACCCAGGTACAGCCTGTAGCCAGTGTAGGTAGCACTACCTCCTCCACGTCCTCATCTCGCAGCAAGGAGAGCAGCCGCTCAGGGAAGTCTCGCAAAGAAAAGCAACAACGGAGAGAGGGCGGAGGGGAGGGCAGCCGCAGCACCTCCCAGAGGAACCGAGCAGACAGAAGCCACCGCAAGTCCTCCAAGAGCCACAAGGCGAGCCCCAAGGGCAAGGCTGCGGTTAGGGGAAGCCCTCGCAGGAAGGGCACCAGCTCTGCTCTCTCGCCCAGTCCCAGAAGAGGGGCTGGCAGCGAGAGTCCACAGGGCAGTGGGTATGGGCAGCAGGGGGATGACAGCTACTCAAGACGGAGGGTGGCCCAGCAGAGCCCCAATCCTTACGGGGATATGTCCCGCCGCAGTAGGCAGAGATCAGACAGCCCGTACGGCAGCAGACACAGGTCTTCAAGCTATGAGAGGGACAGCAGCCCCTACTCGAGGAGACGCTCCAACAGCCCCTATGGCGCCCGCCGGTCCTCCAGCACCAGCCCCATGTCACGGTGAGTATATGATGCAAGGACAGCTTTATAATAGTGGGGAATATTTCTATAGTTTACACTGAGACACGCATGTTGATAGAGTAAGAGTAGAATATCAGAGGCCATTAACTGTGTGTCATGGTACAAAAGGCCAATTTACCCATTGAGACATATTTAGTAGTATTTTTACATAGTGAGACACATCTTGACATTTTATTATCAAAGCAACCTGCATTGTAAGTGTAAAATCAGGCAGACTGGTTGAACTTGCAGAGGCCTTCTCACGCCAGCAACATATTTGCTGCTTGTAGACCCTTAATGACATTGACAAAACCCCGATGGGGAGAAAATGAAAGGATGGAGGTCGTGTCAAGACAGGCACTGTTAAAACAGTTTAACAACAAAATGCAAGAGCTATGGCGACTAGGAGAAGGTTGGGGCACAGCAACCCTGGTCTGTGCCTTTACTGTAATCATCAGAGACTTTTGCATTTATGATTACATTTAGATTTAAGCCACTGTTCTCTTTCAAAGTAAAGGCAATTTAAAAAAACTGGCACCTGGTGGTGAGAACACATTTTTTCACATTGTAAACGCATAATAAGAATCATTTATGATTAGTGTATTATACCATGGTCATACTTTTTCCACATCATAAAAAGCCAGTCATCATTTCCACATTTGGTTGAAGTATAGCTGCACCGTGTGAGCTAGAATTTAAATGCACATTGGACAGATTATAATTTGTACTAGCAGAATAATGGAGCCCTATGAAGTGTGGGAATGTTTTTAAAAATTCATAGTTTCTTAACTACTTTGTCTGGTTATTCAAACATTTCCTTGTATTTATTTTGTGGGTAACAGTGGTGTCTATCTGTGACTGGAATGGAGTCAAAGCAAACGTTAACTAGCACATTACACAGGGAACAAGCTGTATTGCTTCAGACTTTATCAAAATTTAGGATTCAACCTTTACTTCGGTT